GGCTTGCTGCGCCTGGGGCAACTGGCGCTGGGCGCTGCCTTCTGGGTGACGGTGGCGGCTAACAAGTACGAGGGGGCGGCCCACTTCGCCCTCTTCGCCGCCGTCCTGGTCTGGCTCCTCACCCTGGCCCTTTTCGGGCTGAGCCTGCTGGGGCGCTGGGAGCTGGTGCCCTGGCTGGGCTCCCGCTGGCTCCTCACCAACCTGGTGCACGACCTGGCGCTGGGTGTGGGGCTTTATGCAGCCGCCACTGGCATCATGGGCCACAAGGCCGGTCAGAGAAGCTATTGCAACCTGCCAGGCTACAGCCAGCACTGCCTCTACGGTGCCTACCTGAGTGCCTCTGTCTGCGGGGGCATCACTGCCTGCCTGTACCTCTTCTCCGGGCTCTACTGCCTGTCACGGCGTTGCCGGGACCAGCGTGACATCATCTGAGACCTTGAGCCACTTGGCTCCCCTTCTTCTCGCTCACGGACAGAGCACAGCCCCTCTCTGGGACAAAGTGACCCTGCTGCCCCATCCCCTCCTGGCTGACTGCACTGCAACTCCTCCAGAGACCCCTGCACAGATGGATGGACAGACAGAGGCCTTCCCCAAGCACACCTTTCCCTGCAACGCACCGAGACATCATGGACACCCAGCCACTGTACAGGCCCTTCTCCCACCTCTGAACCTAAGGAAGGACCCAAGTGGAGAGCCCCTAAGAGGGATATCAATTTTTGGGAGCCCCTCCAGGACCTCTGCCAAACTCCCCTGCTCCCGACCTTGCAGACGCTGCATGCTCAGGTGGGTGCTGACCTCTCCTCAGGGTGGAGGGGAACTGGCCTAGGAGAGCTGAGAAGGGGGGCAGTGGTGCCTAGTGGGGTTGGCTGGGCATAAAAACCACCCCAACCCACTGGCAGCCCCTTCTCGCCATTCCAGCTGCGTGGCGCCTCTGCAATTCCCTAACAGAGGCTCTGAACTCGGCTTCCCCAGCCCGGGCCCCTCCTTCTGTCTGGCCTGAAAACATCCTTCATCTTATCGGATCCCTGCGGGGCTCAGCCCGTCCCTGCCCTGCACTCTGGGGGTGTGGAGACACCCGGGTACCACACGACCAGACCCAGCATCACCCCAGGCCCCCGGACACAACCCAGGTCCAGTCTGGGGTCTGAGCAGGGCAGCAAGGCCTCCATCACTGCAGGACAAGGGGAAGGACGAGTGGGGTCTTACCCTGGGCGGGGGTAAATTCCTCCAACCTTGGAGTTTGTACAGCCCCAGGATGGGGCCAGGTGCCCCTGGGGGTTGAAGGGGCCAGTCTTGGGGTCATTCTCCTGCTGTTCTGCAGAGAGGTTTGTGGCTCTGAGCCACCCAGAGCCACTGAAGCAGACTGGGGCCAGGCTGCTCCAAAAGGAACAGGCACAGCCTCGCTGATGTTTCTGGAGGCTGGCCTGCAGCCCTGCCTGGCTCTGCTGCACTTGGTTTATCATCCCAGAAGATTCTGATCTCTGGACTCTCTGACTTCATCTTGGGACCAGGCAGCGCCTGGAGACTGTGGCAAGGTGGAAGGGTGAGCATGGCAGCATGGCAGTGCTGGGCTGCTGCTGGCACTCTGGCCATGGGGGAACTGGGACCGGGCATTGTGGGGGGACAGCCTGTCTTGGAGAACAGGAGAAGAGGACACTGCCACTGGAACCAGCCCAGCCTTGGATCAGCCTCCACAATCCACCAAGGGCCAAGCCCTGAGGAGGCCATGTAGGGCCAACTGGAGAAACAGGCAGCCAGAGACAGAATTTTTGGAGGAGCACCACACCAGGGCTGCCCTGCCACAAGCCCTCCTAGCCCTGCCTGGAGGCAGATCCTCTCCTTTGGTCTTGGTGCGAGGGAGGGTCTGCCCCAGTCTCTGTATGGGCTCAGATCAGTGGGGTGGGTGTCCCCAGCAGCTGGCCACAGGGTCTGGCTGTTGCCTGGGGTTCCCTGGTGCCTTTTTTAGGGTGGAGAGCAGCAGCTGTGATCCTCCTGGGGCTTGAAGGGGTTTGGGGTTGGTACTGGGTCCCCGCTTCCATCATGAGGTGCTGTCCCAGCAGATATCTGTTGTGCTCAGGGGCCCTGCCAACCCCTGGGCCATGTGTCTCTTCCCTGGGTGGGATGTGCCATCCCTGCCCTGTCAGGGCTGGTCCCTGACATCACCTGCCTCCGCCTGTTCTGGTGTAGTCCCTGGCCCAGGCTGCCCAAAATGCCCTCTGTGCTTCTGCCAGCACAAGTGCCTTTCTCTGGCTTTCTGCAGCCCTGTCTGTCATGCTGGCTCTGTCCCCCTACAGCCTCCTCTCTGGTGCCCGTGGATTCACATTCCAAATAAAGCAATGTTGGAGCTCACTGGGTGTCTGGGGCTTTGTGCTGGAGCTGGAACCTGCTGAGTACGAGGTCTGAGCTGGGATCACCCCCAGCTCCGTAGTCTTGTAGCCCTTTGTCCTGGGGCCTCCCTACTTGGAGCCCCTGGCCGTGGTCACAATGTCCTGGGCTGCTCTGGGGTCACAGGCAGGCTTCACTGGCACCTCTCAGTGCCTGGCGGAGCAGAGGGAGACTGAGTCCCCAGGGCTATGTGGTTGCAGGGATGCACTGAGGACAGGATGGAGCTGCATTCCTATGGGCTTTGTCACTCAGGGCTGAAAGAGCCCTCTGTCCTTGGGCCAGGACACTGCTAGGCAGTCATGCCCACGCTGTTGGGCCCCCAAAGGGTCAGGGACCAGAGGGTCAGGGACCGCCTAGGGGCAGCTGGCATCTCCCAGGACTGGCTCCAGCCCTGTGATGCACTCTTGGGATGGGGTTGAGCCTCCCCTGTTCAGCAGAGGCTGTGGACAGCCGACAGCATTGTTGAGCCCTCATTGCCCAGGAGTCAGCACAGGGGTAAAACAAGGTTGCATGGAGTATTATGAGATCCCTGCCTTTTGGCATCGGAGGAAGCCCAGGATCCCCAGAGCATCCCTGGGAGCCAGCAGCCCTGCTCTACTGCAAGCACCTGTCAGGACAGCTCGTGGTGCCCAGGGAGATGGGGAGCTGCTGTGCAGGACAGTGCCAGTGCACCCAGGGCTGGGCTGCTGCGGGGGCACGAAGGAGCAGCAGGTGAGCTGCCAGCCACGGTTACGGGCCTGGAGGGAACGTGTCGCTCCCTCGTGGGGCCCACGCGTGTGGGGCTGCGCCCTGGTCTCTCCCCGGGGAGAGGTGCCACAGCAATGGGCTCACGGGGACAAACCGACTGTGCCCGACACGGCTAGGTGCAGGCCATGCCAAGACCCAGTCTGGGACTGAGACTTGGACCAGGACTGAAACGGATCGTGCTCAGCCCCGGACTGGGACGGGATCCGGGCTGTGACTGAGCGCTACACCAGAGCAGAGGTGAACCGAGATAGGGCCAGGACGCTGATTAACCGCGGGTCTGGGCCGAGCCTCGTGTCTAGACCAGACCCATCCGCACGCAG